CGCGCGCCCCTTTGCTAGCGCCCTCGCGCGCCCCTTGCTAGCGCCCTGCGCGGCCCCTCACTAGCGCCCTCGCGCGCCCCTCACTAGCGCCCTCGCGCGCCCCTCGCCGAGCCGCCCGCTCGCAGCCCGCCCGCCCGCTCGCTGCCCGCTTCGCGGCCCGCTCGCTACGCAGCCCGCCCGCCCGCTCGCCCCGCTGCCCGCTTCGCGGCCCGCCCGCTTCGCAGCCCGCTCGCTCGCTGCCCGCTTCGCGGCCCGCCCGCTTCGCAGCCCGCTCGCTCGATGCCGCTGCCCTTCGCGCCCGCCCTTCGCAGCCCGCCGCCGACCGCTCGCTGCCCGCTTCGCGGCCCGCCCGCCTCGCAGCCCGCTCGCCCCGCTGCCCGCTTCGCGGCCCGCCACTTCGCAGCCCGCCCGCCCGCTCGCTGCCCACTTCGCGGCCCGCTCGACCCGCTGCCCGCCTTCGCAGCCCGCCCGCCCGCCCGCTGCCCCGCTTTGCGGCCCCTCCCGCCTCGCAGCGTCGCCCGCGCACCGTGCTGCCCGCTTGCAGCGCGCCTCCTGCCCGCCGCGCTGGCCCGCTTCCCGGCCCGTCCGCCCGGCTGCCCGCTCGCAGCGTCGCCCTCCCGTCGCACTGACCGCTTGCAGCGCCACCTGCCCGTAGCGCCAGCCTCGCCCGCTGCTCTCTATCCGTGCACAGTCGTCTTCCCCTGCTGCGGCAGCTTGCGTTACTCTGTCACACTGTCGCTATGGCTTCCATTCGCGTGCTGTCGTTCGATGCTGAGGGCCCGCCTGTGCGTTTCACCGCTTGGCTAGATGACCTGCAGCTGTTTCTCCTGAGCGATAGCAAGGAGCATGTGTCGCTCTATGACTACGCGTCTGGTGCTGCGCCTGCCCCTCCTGCCACAGCTGAGCTTAGTGTTCGTTCCCACTGGCAGACCCGTGACGCAGCTGCTCGCCTAGCCATTCGCAGTCACCTGCCGTTAGCTGAGCTAGAGCATTTTGGCGACTGCAAATCCGCTAAGGCCCTCTACGACGCTGTCGTCGCTCGCTACTCCTCGCCTGCCACAGCCGAGCTTAGCCGCCTCATGCTGCCGTACCTGTTCCCCGATCTGTCCACCTTTACTACAGTCGCCGATCTTATCACCCACCTTCGCACTAGTGATGCTCGCCTGCGTGCCGCCCTTCCCACCGAGTTCTGCGCTAAGAACCCCCCTCCACTGTACTGGACACTCCACTTCATAGTCACCCGTCTCCCTGACACCCTACGCTCAGTTCGAGACCACTTCCTTGCTCGCTGTCCCACTGAGCTCACAGTCGCCCTCCTAGAGGAGCACCTGCTCGCGGCCGAAAAGAGCATTGTAGCTGTCGGTGCTGCTCGTGGCGCTCCTCGCACCCCCATCTTTGAGGGGTGTTCTCCCTCTCCCCTCGCTCCCTCCTACGCTGCTGCTGCTGCTGTTGACTTCCTTGGTGCTGAGTCTGTTGGCGCGCTTCTTCTACTCCTGGTGGGAGGCGCCGCACCGGCAAGGGCAAGGGGGGCAAAAGTGGTGGTGGTGGCGCTGGTGGGGGAGGAGGTGGGGGAGGTGGGGGGGGAGGCGGTGCTGGAGGGAGCGGTGGCGGGAGCGCTGGTGGGAGTGGGGTCGGTGGTGGAGACGGGGGCGGCGGAGGGAGCAGTGGCAGTAGTGGCGGCGGCGGCGGTGGCGGCGGCGGTGGCGGTGGTGGCGGTGGTGGCGGTGGCGGTCGGAGCGGTGGTAGTGGTGGCGGCGGAGGTCGGAGTGGAGGCACTGGCTCTGGCCAGAGCTCCCAGCAGCAGCAGCGTCCCCAGACGACCCAGCAGCTTCGTGAGTGGCTTGCTCAGCGTGGGACGTCGGGGGCCAGTGCCCGCTGTTCTTATGTCATTCGCACAGGTGACCGCAAGGGACAGACGTGTGGGAGGTTCCACACCCCGTACCGCTGCTTCTCCCGCCTTGACGACGCTTGGCGTGAGGAGATGGGTGCGGATGTTGAGCGCCCCCGCTGGGCTGAGCTCATGAGGGCTGGTGTTGATGTCTTTGCTCTTGACTATGATGCTATTATTGCTGCCATGTATGCATTGACTGTTAGTGCCGAGGGAGACTGTTACTTGTGTGTGCCGCCTGACCCAGGTATAGAGCCCGCTGCCCTGGGTACTAGTGAGTCTGCTCTCTCTGGTATGGTGCCCCCTGTACTTGCTCCCTCCAGTGCTGTCCCGGCTGGTTTCGAGTCTGCTCTCTCAGGTACAGCACCCACAGAGACTGCTCTCTCAGGTACCGCACCGGCTGAGGCCTGTCACACCTTCACCCTTGACTCAGGTGCTTCCCGTTGCTTCTTTCGTGACAGTACTGAGCTCACACCGCTTCCTGCACCGGTCCCAGTCTCCTTGGCTGACCCCTCTGGGGGCCCAGTCCTTGCCCAGTCTACCACTGTCCTCCCTTGTCCGGCGGTTCCGTCTGGCTCGTTGTCGGGTTTCCACCTCCCCTCGTTCTCGACGAACCTGGTGAGCAACGCTGTCCTCCAGGATCAGTGGGTTGACACCTTTACCCCTGGCGGACAGCGTGTGGCGATCTGCACGTGCTCCAGGACCGGCCGTCACCTGGCCACGTTCACCCGTCGGCCGGGGTCGAGTCTCTACACACTGACCACTGCGTCTCCCCAGGTAGCTGCTGTCGGTCAGGTGTCTGAGTCAGGTCTGGTGGCCCACGCCTGTGAGTGTCGTTCCCTGTCGCACCAGACTCTTCTCTGGCACCACCGCCTGGGTCACCCCTCCTTGCCACGCCTTCGTGGCATGCACCGTCGCCTCCTTGTGTCCGGTCTTCCCAGGTCCCTCCCTCCCCTCCCTGCCTCGCCTGCGCCGCCTTGCCTTCCTTGCGTCGAGGGGCGGCAGCGCGCCGCTCCTCACTCCTCCTCGTTCCCCCCGACAGAGGCTCCTCTGGAGACCCTCCACCTGGACGTGTGGGGCCCAGCCCGCGTTCGTGGTCAGGGCGGTGAGCGGTACTTTCTGCTGGTTGTCGACGACTACTCGCGTTACACCACGGTCTTCCCCTTGCGCACCAAGGGTGAGGTCCCTGCTGTTCTGATCCCTTGGATCCGCTCGGTTCGTCTCCAGCTCCGCCGCCGTTTCCGGACGGATCTTCCTGTCCTGCGTCTGCACTCTGACAGAGGTGGTGAGTTTTCCTCCGATCTCCTGAGGACCTTCTGTCAGGCAGAGGGCATCGAGCAGACCTTCACGCTTCCGGACTCCCCACAGCAGAATGGGGTTGCTGAGCGCCGCATTGGCCTGGTCATGGAGATCGCTCGTACCTCCTTGGTCCACGCGGCGGCTCCCCATTTTCTGTGGCCGTTTGCTGTCCGGTACGCCGCGCATCAGCTCAACCTCTGGCCCCGTGTCTCCTTGCCGGAGACCTCGCCCACACTGCGTTGGACGGGGGAGGTTGGCGATGCGTCGCGCTTCCGGGTGTGGGGTGCTCGTGCCCTTGTCCGCGATACGTCCGCGGACAAGCTCTCCTCCCGCACGCTTCCCTGTGTCTTCCTTGGCTTTGTCCCTGACGCGCCTGGCTGGCAGTTTTACCACCCCACCTCGCGCCGGGTCTTCGCCTCTCAGGATGTCACCTTTGACGAGTCGGTCCCCTTTTACCGTCTCTTCCCCTACCGCACTGCCCCCCTCCCTCCCCCGCCACTTTTCCTTGCTCCTGGTCCCCCTCCGGTAGACCCCCTCCCCCCTCAGGGTCCTGCTCCTTCAGGTGTCTCTCAGGTAGACCCTCCTCCCGTCGCTGAGCCTGTCGAGGTCACAGGTGACTCAGGTGCTGCTGCGGGTGGTGCTGCTGGGAGTGCTGAGCCTGGGGGTGCTGAGCCTGGGGGTGCTGGGCCTGGGGGTGCTGGGGCTGCAGGTGCTGGGACTGAGGGTGCTGGAGCTGAGGGTACGGTGCCTGAGAGTACGGAGCCTGGGGGTGCTGCGCCTAGGGGTGCTGAGCCTGCGGGTGCGAGGCCTGGGGGTGCTGAGCCTGGGGGTGCTGAGCCTGCGGGTACTGAGCCTGCGGGTACTGAGCCTGGGGGTGCTGCTACTGAGCCTACGGAGCCTCGGGTTACTGTGTCTGGGGGTGCTCCGGTTCGGGGTGCTGAGCAGTCTCTCACACCGCAGCAGCTTCGTGACTGGTACGTCCGACGCTTTCGCCGTCCTAGTGGCTCGGCTGGAGTTTGGGGTGCTGGAGCTACTCGTCCTGGGGGTGCTCGTACTGGGGGTACTGGAGCTGCCGGGACTGGCTGTTCTGGGAGCACTGCGACTGGAGCTGCTGGAGCTGGGGACTCTGGCGCTGGCGGTGCTAGCGGAGTTGGAGCTGCCGACTCTGGGGGTGGCGCTGCTGCTGGTGCTGCGGACCCACCTGGTGGAGCTGCTGCTGGTGCTGAGGAGTCGGACGGTGGAGCTGCTGCTGGAGCTGGGGACCCGGCCGGTGGAGCTGCTGCTGGTGCTGTGGACCCGGACGCTGGAGCTCCTACTGGTGCTGAGGACCCGGCCGCTGGAGTCCCTTCTGCTTCTGGAGACGCTGCGCGGCCGCGACCGTACTTCGTACCGCTCCTTCAGCAGGTTCTTGGGCAGGCTCCTCCTCCTTGTCCTCCTCCCTCCGTAGAGTGTCCTCCGCCTGTCCAGCCGCAGTCACAGTTACCGCCTGCCTCGCCTCTCCCTGCTCCCTCTCCTTATACTGGTCCCACAGGAGGTCTTACAGAGCGTCGTGAGCCTGAGTCTCGTCCTGCGTCGCCTGTTCGTCCTGCTCGCACTGGTAGTCGTGTCCGTCGTGAGCGTCCTCCTCCTGTCCCAGGCACTCACTACATGACTCTACGTCCCTCTACTGCTCCTCGGCGTGTCCCTCTACCGTCTCCTCCTGCGTCCTCTTTGCCTGCCGTTCCGGACCCTGAGTCTGACCGGTATCGCGCTGAGCACCCTACAGTCACGCGTCTCCTCGCTACTGTTGTCACTGACCCTACCTTTGAGTCCTCGGCTGCGTCTGCTCTGGTCGCTGAGTTGGTTGACTTTGCTGCTGCCTGTCGTCTAGACTACGCTGCTAGCCTTGTTGCTGAGTCTGAGTCTGCGTCTGTCTGTCCTCCGTCCGTCGGGGGTGAGTGTGCTCTTGGCACGGACGTCCTTGAGGACAGGCAGGAGGACTTTGACTCTCTTGCGGCTGCTGTACCTCATCTCGTGGCCTGGTTGCTTGCCCCTGAGGGAGACCCGGATGCACCAGACATCCCGACCCCACGCACTTACGCTGAGGCGATGGCGGGTCCCTACTCCTCTCAGTGGCAGACGGCCATGGACGCCGAGATGGCATCCTGGAAGTCCACAGGCACCTACGTCGACGAGGTTCCCCCTCCTGGGGCGAACATCGTCGATGGCATGTGGATTTTCAGGGTGAAGCGGCCGCCAGGTTCTCCGCCTGTCTTCAAGGCTCGTTACGTTGCTAGAGGCTTCAGTCAGCGTCAGGGGGTCGACTTCTTCCAGACCTTCTCCCCCACCCCGAAGATGACCACTCTTCGGGTTCTGCTGCACGTTGCTGCTCAGCGTGACTACGAGCTTCACTCTCTTGACTTCAGCACAGCGTTCCTGCAGGGCAGCCTGCACGAGGAGATCTGGCTGCGCCGCCCACCTGGCTTTACTGGGTCGTTTCCCCCTGGTACCCAGTGGAGTCTCCGCCGGCCAGTCTACGGTCTCCGCCAGGCGCCACGTGAGTGGCACGACACACTGAGGACTACTCTTGCGGCTCTTGGGTTCGCGCCGTCTACTGCTGACCCGTCACTGTTTCTGCGCACAGACACGTCGCTGCCGCCGTTCTACATTCTCGTGTACGTCGACGACTTGGTCTTTGCTACTGCTGACACTGAGGCACTCGCTCGTGTGAAGTCGGAGCTGCAGAAGAGACACACCTGCACTGACCTGGGTGAACTGCGTAGCTACCTTGGCTTGCAGATCACCCGGGACAGAGCTCGCCGCACCATCACCCTGACTCAGTCACACATGGTGCAGCAGGTCCTTCAGCGCTTCGGCTTCCAGTTCTCCTCACCACAGGCCACACCTCTGGCTACCAGCCACTCGCTCTCAGCTCCACCTTCGGACGAGTCCGTAGAGCCGAGTGGCCCGTACCCAGAGCTTGTAGGCTGCCTCATGTACCTGATGACTTGCACGCGACCTGACCTCGCGTACCCTCTTAGCATCCTTGCTCGTTACGTTGCGCCTGGGAGACACAGGCGAGAGCACTGGGAGGCTGCTAAGAGGGTGCTGCGTTACCTGTGCAGTACATCAGGCATGGGGCTGGTGCTTGGGGGACGCGACAGAGTTGTCCTCACTGGTCACTCGGACGCCTCTTGGGTGGACGACCTGGCTACGCAGCGGTCGTCACAGGGTTACACCTTCAGCCTTGGCTCAGGTTCTGTCTCGTGGCGGTCCACCCGTTCTTCTTCTGTTCTCAGCTCTAGTTGTGAGGCTGAGATCTACGCCACAGCCATGGCTGCACAGGAGTTACGCTGGCTCACCTACCTGCTGACTGACTTGGGAGAGCGGCCTAGTTCTCCTCCAGTTCTGTACGGTGACAACAAGGCGGCTCTTGCCTTGTGTCAGGAGCACAGACTGGAGCACAGGACGAAGCACATTGCTCTTCGCTACTTTCTTGCTCGAGAGCTTCAGCAGCGCGGTCAGCTTCGGCTTGTGTACGTGGACTCGAAGGCCAACACTGCTGATATCTTCACCAAGGCGCTCCCGCCTAGTGATCATCAGCGGCACTGTACTTCTTTAGGCCTTGTGTCCACGTTTCCTCACTTGCTCACTGCTTGACATTCTTTGTACTGTACTTTATATATATCTTGTTGCTTGCTTGCTAGGTTTTGATCACTGTGTTGCTTGTCTTGTACTATATCTAGCACTGCATGTGAACTGGCCTTGTGGCCTTTACTTGTGCTCGGAGTGTGGTGACGTTGTGATCCACCCTGGGCGTTGCTTTGCTTTGCTGGACTGGTCTTGTGACCCTTTGTTCTCCCCCACTTTGCCTATGGGGGTGTGTTAAACTGTAGTATGCTTGTAGGCTGTAGTGGGGTAGCCAATATGGGGTACAACCCCAACTAGGGTTTCATATTTGTACCCAAACTTCTGCTAGTTCATCATTCTTGCCTAGTGATTCTGACATGCTGTACCTCATCTCGTGGCCTGGTTGCTTGCCCCTGAGGGAGACCCGGATGCACTAGACATCCCCACTCCGCGCACTTACGCAGAGGCGATCTCGGGTCCCTACTCCTCTCAGTGGCAGACAGCCATGGACGCAGAGATGGCATCCTAGAAGTCCACAGGCACCTACGTCGACGAGGTTCCCCCTCCTGGGGCGAACATCGTCGATGGCATGTGGATTTTCAGGGTGAAGCGGCCGCCAGGTTCTCCTCCTGTCTTCAAGGCTCGTTACGTTGCTAGAGGCTTCAGTCAGCGTCAGGGGGTCGACTTCTTCCAGACCTTCTCCCCCACCCCGAAGATGACCACTCTTCGGGTTCTGCTGCACGTTGCTGCTCAGCGTGACTACGAGCTTCACTCTCTTGACTTCAGCACAGCGTTCCTGCAGGGCAGCCTGCACGAGGAGATCTGGCTGCGCCGTCCACCTGGCTTTACTGGGTCGTTTCCTCCTGGTACCCAGTGGAGCCTCCGCCGACCAGTCTACGGTCTCCGCCAGGCGCCACGTGAGTGGCACGACACACTGAGGACTACACTTGCGGCTCTTGGGTTCGCGCCGTCTACTGCTGACCCGTCGCTGTTTCTGCGCACAGACACGTCGCTACCGCCGTTCTACATTCTCGTGTACGTCGACGACTTGGTCTTTGCTACTGCTGACACTGAGGCACTCGCTCGTGTGAAGTTGGAGCTGCAGAAGAGACACACCTGCACTGACCTGGGTGAACTGCGTAGCTACCTTGGCTTACAGATCACCCGGGACAGAGCTCGCCGCACCATCACCCTGACTCAGTCACACATGGTGCAGCAGGTCCTTCAGCGCTTCGGCTTCCAGTTCTCCTCACCACAGGCCACACCTCTGGCTACCAGCCACTCGCTCTCAGCTCCACCTTCGGACGAGTCCGTAGAGCCGAGTGGCCCGTACCCAGAGCTTGTAGGCTGCCTCATGTACCTGATGACTTGCACGCGACCTGACCTCGCGTACCCTCTTAGCATCCTTGCTCGTTACGTTGCGCCTGGGAGACACAGGCGAGAGCACTGGGAGGCTGCTAAGAGGGTGCTGCGTTACTTGTGCAGTACATCAGGCATGGGACTGGTGCTTGGAGGACGCGACAGAGTTGTCCTCACTGGTCACTCGGACGCTTCTTGGGTGGACGACCTGGCTACGCAGCGGTCGTCACAGGGTTACACCTTCAGCCTTGGCTCTGGTTCTGTCTCGTGGCGGTCCACCCGCTCTTCTTCTGTTCTCGGCTCTAGTTGTGAGGCTGAGATCTACGCCACAGCCATGGCTGCACAGGAGTTACGCTGGCTCACCTACCTGCTGACTGACTTGGGAGAGCGGCCTAGTTCTCCTCCAGTTCTGTACGGTGACAACAAGGCGGCCCTTGCCTTGTGTCAGGAGCACAGACTGGAGCACAGGACGAAGCACATTGCTCTTCGCTACTTTCTTGCTCGAGAGCTTCAGCAGCGCGGTCAGCTTCGGCTTGTGTACGTGGACTCGAAGGCCAACACTGCTGATATCTTCACCAAGGCGCTCCCGCCTAGTGATCATCAGCGGCACTGTACTTCTTTAGGCCTTGTGTCCACGTTTCCTCATTTGCTTACTGCTTGAATCTCTTTGTACTGTACTTTATATATGTCTTGCTGTTTGTCCTGTTCTATATCTAGCACTGCATGTGAACTGGCCTTGTGGCCTTTGCTTGTGCTCGGAGTGTGGTGACGTTGTGATCCACCCTGGGCTTTGCTTTGCTTTGCTGGACTGGTCTTGTGACCCTTTGTTCTCCCCCACTTTGCCTATGGGGGTGTGTTAAACTGTATTATGTTTGTAGGCTGTAGTGGGGTAGCCAATATGGGGTACAACCCCAACTAGGGTTTGCTACTTGTACCCAATTCTTCCATTCAATGCATCATTCTTGCCTAGTTCTTCTCACAGCCCTGTGCTGGCTAAAATGCGCGGGTATTGCGCCAGTTCGACAGCTGGGCGTACAGGAAAATTTACAAGGTTGCGACACTGTTCAGCACCGACAAAACCGGACCATCGGCAGCAGTTACCCCGCCGAAAAAATCGGAGCTGAAGAAATTGGTGCAGCTGTCGGGGTTTCTCCAACTTCAACGGTCTACCCGACGGCGGTGTAGCGGCGAAGAAGGGGTTCCGAAGCTGTGGAGTTTTTTAAAAGCGATAGACGCGGTGGGCAACGAAGCGGCCGGCCCGACGGTTTGATCCGATAAACCTGATCCGGTTACGATAGCATTCGCGCCTTCACCGATGTCAGAAAAATCGCGGGCAACACGGAGTTATACCTCATCCGACAAAAGCGGACGCTGGGTGAACGGCGGCAAGCGAAATTGTCGGGGGGTGAAGACAAAAATAAATGGAGGGAAATTGGTGGGTGCTCCAGCAGATCTCCAGAGTGAAAGGTGGAGCTCGTACACCAATCTACCGCGAATTTCGGAGTCTATTCGGTAGACCCCCGAAAGGGTTTGATATAATGACATGGAGGCGCGGCGAGCGGTGTATCGCCAAGGATACCTGGGATTCGCTAAGTAATTTCGACGGGTGCGAAGACGGGTGAACGTCGGAGTACCAGGGTTAACGGCGGAAACGTCGGGGTTACGCGGCGGAAAATACTTCGGGACTGCTTCAACAACCATGATTTTCGGGGTTATTTCTACGGTGGGAGACGGGTGAACGTCTGCTCGCCAGCTGTTTTCTGCGTTTTACGGTGTACTTCAAGGAGACAACCTGCAGACAACCAAGATTTTACGGGGTGTGTTAATTTCCGACATCTTCGGGTGCAACGAGGAGTTCCGAGACTGAGTGTTAACGGAGTCAGTGGGGTCGCTGACAGTATCAGTGCCGGCGGTGGAGTTCCAGCGGCGCTTGATTAAGCACGCGATGGCACTCATCGTCAAAATGTAGCCATACAAATCGGAAGCTGTTCGGGGGTACCAGCCGCAACACGAGGAGAATTTTGCAACAAGTGGGGAGGGGAAAGGCGACAGCTGTTTTCGCCTCTGCCCGGAGTTTTTCGGCGGGTCACGACAACACCGACATTGCAGCTGATGTCACCGGCAGTTCGAGTTCAACATTGACAAAATATTCGCGTGGTCAGGGGGAAGAGCAGCAGCTGTTTTCGTCCCTGCCCGGGAGTTTTCGAAGCAACGCGACAAGTGCCTCGGCGAGTCTGGACAAGACTGCCGGGGGCACCGTCAGCTGGAGCAGCTACAGCGAGGATTTGGCCACAGCAACGCGACAACAAGACAGCAGCAATTACGGGGTTGCAGATTCTGGCGACCGAGATTCAGCAGCAGCAGGGTGTGTCAAGATAGTAAGGACAGTGAGAAGCCATAGCTAGGGTTGACCTAGCTAGGCAAGTAAGAAATGAACAAAGGAGGGGTTACACTAGCAAGAATGGGGATACAAATAGCAAACCCTAGAAGGGTTGTACTCGCTATAGAGCACCCCACTACAGGCTAGAGCATAATATTCTGACACACCCCCATAGCCAAAGTGAGGTGTAATCAGCAGAGCAAGCAAAGCAGTACAAGCTCAGGGTGGATCACAATGTCACCACACATTCTGAGCACAAGTTCAAGAAGCAATAGTTTAAGGTTCACAATTATGAGCAAAGCTAGTGGTAGTCACAACGGGCAAGTGAGGAGGAGGAAAGAGACTATGAGAGGAGAGGAGGTAGTGGGCGGCAGCTGAAGCTGCTGGCACACGGCGCAACTGGAGCAACTGGCACACTGGCAACTGGAGCAACTGGCACACGGGCTACTGGAGTAACTGGCTCCGCGGCTGAAAGTAGCGGCAGACGAGCAACGGACTCACGGGCGACTGGAGCAACGGGCTCACGGGCGACTGGCGCAACGGGCTCACGGGCGACTGGCGCAACGGTCTCACGGGCGACTGGAGCTGCTGGCTTCACGGCGGCCACCCCCTTCAACCTCCCCAAACTATCCCACTCCCCCTGACACACACCCGCTGCTACACCGCTAGCTCCACTCCCACGTCACCCCCCTAGCACCACTCCTTCGGCTCCCCACACACCCACCCCCCTCAGCGGCAGCTGCAGCAGTGGGAGACGGAGGAGGAGGAGGAGCAGGGGACGGCGCACACTCTTGCACCCCCATAACCGCCACCCCCACACTCGCCACCCCCAAACCCTAAAACGGGTGGCACGGGGCAGGAGCGCGGGGGACGGCGCGCGGCCCTGGGGCAGGCTGCCCGGGCCGCGCGCAGGCCTGGCGCAGGCCGTACGGGCCGCGCGCGGGCCTGGCGCAGCCCGTACGGGCCGCGCGCGGGCCTGGCGCAGCCCGTACGGGCCGCGCGCGGGCCTGGCGCAGGTCGCGCGGGCCGCGTCGGGCGACGGGGGGCGACGCGCGGGTCCGCGGGCTCCGTGACGGGCGACGGGGGGCGCTTCGACGGGCGACGGGGAGTGCTTCGACGGGCGACGGAGCGGTCGAAGGGAGGGGGGGAAGCGCGGGCCCCCGGGGTGACGCACGAGGGAGGAAACCGCCGCGCGCCTCGGGGCCACGGCGGGCAGAAAACCGCCGCGCGCCCCGAGCGCGCGGCGGGAAGAAAAATCGAACATCGCGCGCCACGGGACGCGCGACACACAGGAAGGCAGCGGAAGCAGGCGGGCCCACAGGCCAGGAGCGTAACCGCTCTGATAGCATGTCAAGATAGTAAGGACAGTGAGAAGCCATAGCTAGGGTTGACCTAGCTAGGCAAGTAAGAAATGAACAAAGGAGGGGTTACACTAGCAAGAATGGGGATACAAATAGCAAACCCTAGAAGGGTTGTACTCGCTATAGAGCACCCCACTACAGGCTAGAGCATAATATTCTGACACACCCCCATAGCCAAAGTGGGGTGTAATCAACAGAGCAAGCAAAGCAGTACAAGCTCAGGGGGGGAGAGAGAGTGATTCTCGCTCTGTGCTTGTCAGTTTTCTGACAGTTTCGTCTGACAATCCGGCACAACGGACGCTTGCGATGGCTTCATCGGCATCGACGACTGTCGATTCACTGACATCTGACAGCGTGTCAGAACTTTCGCGAGCATCGCCAGCGTCACCACCGCACGATTTACATCGACGGCTTTCTTTCGTCGAAAGATTTCAACTCGTCATTCGCCGTCAACTGTTCGATCGACATCGACAGTATCAAACGGCTGACATTCCAACTCTGAAATTCGCCTGGTCAACGCGCTCAGCCACGCGTCAACCTGAAAGTCAACAACGCTTCCGCGCCGTCAGATTGGTTTTCGACCGAGATCTGCAGTTTTCACGCTACTGCCAGACTCGCTTACGTAAAAGGTGCCTTCTTTAGAAGGTGGGAGAGTGTAATGAATGTGCAATTCATTACTGTAGAACTGTCCTTAGCGAGGACAGCCCCGAGCAGTTCGCGTCAGTGTGGCTCGGCCTACACTTTCGCACCGAACCAGCCCCGAGTCGCCCCGCACCAATTGCGACATTCCCGAGCCACGCACATCGAGGTCCTCGCCTAGCACGGTTTCGACCCTATAAATGCTCGCTTCATTATCATTCTCGACATTCTGTAATTCTCATCCTTTTTATAAAGTCTTCCGCGCACTCTTCTTAGTACAACTCATAACAGTTGGCTCCTCGCGAAGCGACGTACCTAGACATGTGGTTCGCGTTGAACGGCGACAAGGCTGGCAGAAATAACGTGTGTGGACTTTCCACGTGTACACTGTCTACGAACTGAATACAATGTGCGGTGCGTAACATGTGGTTCCGACATTCACGAGACCATATTGAGAAATTGAGACCTCAATCTGTGCCACATAATCAACAGGCTTCTAGCACCAAGACCACCCTCCGGATTGGAATTCTGCGATGTTGTTGAGCAAACATCGAAATACTGCGACGCAACTTCTTCTAGGAGAAGTACTAGTAGCCACATACATACATCCACAGATGATTCTGTAATGGCTAGGCGTCCCACCAGGACTCACGGTGGGCTTATCGTGGCGCAGCTGTGCTCATTGTCGTTGCATTCAGTCTAATACACGGTCATCCTGATAGAAATCAAATAATTGTACTATCCGCCTGTCAGCGACAAATCTCTGCCGTTCCCAGCATGGCAAAAGTCCTTAATCACCTGCTTCTCGCTGTATCTGTTATGCTCGTCTGCCTCTCGATGCTTCCCCCCGCATTTGCCGCCTGGCCGGTGCGCATTGCTCGCATGCTACAGGCTCACAACGTATACATTGGTCAGCGACAGCTGCGCCGCAACCATGCGCGAAAACTGACCGACGTTGTATATCGCGGCTCTCAGCCACCGCTGCGCATGCTCGAAACGAAACCCGTTTTCGACAAGAAACGGCGCGAACAGGTGGGCGCCGCCGCGCCGTCGTCGTCCATTCCCATTGAATACCACGGCGGTCCCGTGATGAGCGGCGAAACGCTGAATGTGTACTTAATCTACTATGGCTTCTGGCCTGCGGGAATCGGGCAGGATGTGATCGAGAATTTCATTCGGTCGCTAAGCCTAGGAAGCTCCGAAGCGCAGGGGAGAGCCGTGGATCCGAAAGTGAGCAACTGGTGGGCGACGACTTCGAAATACTACTCGCTGGCGTCTGACGGGTCTAAGATCACCGTCAGCACGGAGGTATGTCGGTTATATTTTTCATAATGTTACAAGCTGTGCATTCGTGTGTGAAATAATTACTTTCACTGAAGGACGACCAGGCTGGCGCGCGGCATCGACGCGCGCAGCATTGAATGCACTTTCAATGTTCCAAGATCGCGGTTGGAATACGAATAAACAAACCTTGAATTGAGTTCACTGCGAATACAGTCAGTTTGTTGGACTCCACAAAGACGTGATTTTCGCGGAAAAACCCCAAAGTCCAACCCCTGACCTTCCAGGTGAAGCTCGCACAGGTCGTCTACGACCACGGGTCTCATGGGAAGAGATTAGGTGGCCACACTACCTGGAGAGGTGCGTTTTCTTTCCGAGAAATCCTTCCTTTCGTTATCCCCTCCTTTGCCAACATCTTTGCCAACATAACTTTTTGCCACCAGATTCGTTCTAATCTCTCGTCCCTCTTTTATCGCAGTTATCATGAGCAACATTGGTGACGGAAAACCGTTTCCCTACGACGCCAATGGCATTTACCTAATTCTGGCCGGCAATAATGTGGAAATCCCCGGCTTTTGCACGTCCTTTTGCGCGTGGCACTCTATGCATCTTCTTAATTGGAAGCCCGTCGCGTATTCCCTCGTGGGTCATCACGGATTGTGCCCGACAAGCTGCGGGGTGCAGCAGACTTCGCCCAACGGAAAGCCCTGGCTCGACGCGATGGTTTCGGCGATCGCTCACGAAATCGCTGAAGTTGCGACGAATCCTGATGCCCGCAGCGGCTGGTTCGATGCTGGCCAGAGAGAAGGCGCGGATAAGTGCAGCTACCACTACGGAGTTACGCAAACAACTAAGAACGAAAACGGTGAGGATGCAGAGTACAACCTCGTGGGGCTCAACAATATGAAGTTCCTGGTGCAGCATAACTGGGACCTGGCGACCTGGTCGTGTGTGACGCAGACAACTGAGAGTGCGTTCTCGCTTCTGGCCAGACTTATGGCCAGGCTGTTCCAAGCCCCCAATCACATCGGCGGCAATCCCTGGTGATGTGAATGCTTGTGGGTGCGACCCCACACCGACATCTGGCGAATCTTGCGCAGGCGCAGGTGTTTTGGCGACAGACTTTCCCAAACCACAAAAATATTCAATAAAACCCACCCAGTATAGATACAATAGTGCCTGTTCAGATCTCTCAAGTTCATATAGTACGCAAATGGTTCCAAGTAGATGTAATATGTTGAATTGATGGGTTGTGTTTGTATGATAGTCGTTATTAATTATTAAGCGCCATTCCATGCAGAAGCTTCCATTGAAGATGGTTGGATACTTGCCGAAACTAATGCATTAGCTGGAGTGTAGAATTTTTTGAAGGATTTGCTCACAAATCCTTCCGACAATCGACATCATAGCTGGAGTGTAGAATTTTTTGAAGGATTTGCTCACAAATCCTTCAGACAATCGACATCAGTACACCCCAGGTGCACTATGTGAGGGATTACATACCATTACACTCCCTATTTTTTCCTTGTATAATAGATATAAAGTGTACATGTGCTTCTTGTCAAATGTTATAGCCTATTGTGGGTTATGCTAAATGGGGCACAAACAGTTAGGGTTAGGCATATGTACCCCAACCCAATCAATGCTACTCATTCCGCTGTAGCTACTTTCTGAGATGGTATCAGCTAGGTTCCTCGCTCCTAGGCCCTAGGTTTAGGGTTTCGTTCCTTCCCTAGCTCGCCACACACGCCAGCGCGCTAGTGCGCTAAGCCCTAAGCCGCCAGCCAGCCAGCCAGCTGCCCCCTACCGCGCCACGCCGCCGGTCGACCTGCAGCGCGGCCTAAACCCTAGCCTCCGCGCCGCCCGCCCGTAGGCCCGCGCGTCACGCCGCCCGTAGGCCCGCGCGTCACGCCGCCCGTAGGCCCGCGCGTCGCTTCGCCTAGCCGTCTAGACCGCCCGCAGGCCCGCCCGTCGCCTAGCCCGCCCGTAGGCCTGCCCGTCACCTAGAACGCCCGCAGGCCCGCCCGTCGCCTAGCCCGCCCGTCGGCCCGCCCGTCGCCTGACCGCGCAGCCCGCTCGTCGGCCCGCCGCGCCGCCCGTAGGCCCGCGCGCCGCGTCGCCCGCCGTCGACCAGCTGCGCAACCTGCTCGTCGACCCGCCGCGCCGCCCGTAGGCCCGCGCGCCGCGTCGCCCGCCCGTCGACCAGCTGCGCAGCCCGCCCGCCACCCAATACGTCGCGCCGCACGCCCCATAGCACGCCGCGCCGCCCACCAGCCAGCGCACTGCGTAGCCCACCAGCCAGCGCACTGCGCCGCCCACCTATCCACCTGCATGCCTCCCCGCCTACCCACACGATACTGATTGTCTCCCCCCTCCCGCGGCTGGCAGCCGCGCTCTCTCAGTTTCGCCCCCTATGGCTGTCAGAATCACTAGGCAAGAATGATGAACTAGCAGAAGTTTTGGGTACAAATATGAAACCCTAGTTGGGGTTGTACCCCATATTGGCTACCCCACTACAGCCTACAAGCATACTACAGTTTAACACACCCCCATAGGCAAAGTGGGGGAGAACAAAGGGTCACAAGACCAGTCCAGCAAAGCAAAGCAACGCCCAGGGTGGATCACAACGTCACCACACTCCGAGCACAAGTAAAGGCCACAAGGCCAGTTCACATGCAGTGCTAGATATAGTACAAGACAAGCAACACAGTGATCAAAACCTAGCAAGCAAGCAACAAGATATATATAAAGTACAGTACAAAGAATGTCAAGCAGTGAGCAAGTGAGGAAACGTGGACACAAGGCCTAAAGAAGTACAGTGCCGCTGATGATCACTAGGCGGGAGCGCCTTGGTGAAGATATCAGCAGTGTTGGCCTTCGAGTCCACGTACACAAGCCGAAGCTGACCGCGCTGCTGAAGCTCTCGAGCAAGAAAGTAGCGAAGAGCAATGTGCTTCGTCCTGTGCTCCAGTCTGTGCTCCTGACACAAGGCAAGAGCCGCCTTGTTGTCACCGTACAGAACTGGAGGAGAACTAGGCCGCTCTCCCAAGTCAGTCAGCAGGTAGGTGAGCCAGCGTAACTCCTGTGCAGCCATGGCTGTGGCGTAGATCTCAGCCTCACAACTAGAGCTGAGAACAGAGGAAGAGCGGGTGGACCGCCACGAGACAGAACCTGAGCCAAGGCTGAAGGTGTAACCCTGTGACGACCGCTGCGTAGCCAGGTCGTCCACCCAAGAGGCGTCCGAGTGACCAGTGAGGACAACTCTGTCGCGTCCCCCAAGCACCAGCCCCATGCCTGATGTACTGCACAGGTAACGCAGCACCCTCTTAGCAGCCTCCCAGTGCTCTCGCCTGTGTCTCCCAGGCGCAACGTAACGAGCAAGGATGCTAAGAGGGTACGCGAGGTCAGGTCGCGTGCAAGTCATCAGGTACATGAGGCAGCCTACAAGCTCTGGGTACGGGCCACTCGGCTCTACAGACTCGTCCGAAGGTGGAGCTGAGAGCGAGTGGCTGGTAGCCAGAGGTGTGGCCTGTGGTGAGGAGAACTGGAAGCCGAAGCGCTGAAGGACCTGCTGCACCATGTGTGACTGAGTCAGGGTGATGGTGCGGCGAGCTCTGTCCCGGGTGATCTGCAAGCCAAGGTAGCTACGCAGTTCACCCAGGTCAGTGCAGGTGTGTCTCTTCTACAGCTCCGACTTCACACGAGCGAGTGCCTCAGTGTCAGCAGTAGCAAAGACCAAGTCGTCGACGTACACGAGAATGTAGAACGGCGGCAGCGACGTGTCTGTGCGCAGAAACAGTGACGGGTCAGCAGTAGACGGCGCGAACCCAAGAGCCGCAAGAGTAGTCCTCAGTGTGTCGTGCCACTCACGTGGCGCCTGGCGGAGACCGTAGACTGGCCGGCGGAGACTCCACTGGGTACCAGGGGGAAACGACCCAGTAAAGCCAGGTGGGCGGCGCAGCCAGATCTCCTCGTGCAGGCTGCCCTGCAGGAACGCTGTGCTGAAGTCAAGAGAGTGAAGCTCGTAGTCACGCTGAGCAGCAACGTGCAGCAGAACCCGAAGAGTGGTCATCTTCGGGGTGGGGGAGAAGGTCTGGAAGAAGTCGACCCCCTGACGCTGACTGAAGCCTCTAGCAACGTAACGAGCCTTGAAGACAGGCGGAGAACCTGGCGGCCGCTTCACCCTGAAAATCCACATGCCATCGACGATGTTCGCCCCAGGAGGGGGAACCTCGTCGACGTAGGTGCCTGTGGACTTCCAGGATGCCATCTCGGCGTCCATGGCCGTCTGCCACTGAGAGGAGTAGGGACCCGCCATCGCCTCAGCGTAAGTGCGTGGGGTCGGGATGTCTGGTGCATCCGGGTCTCCCTCAGGGGCAAGCAACCAGGCCACGAGATGAGGTACAGCAGCCGCAAGAGAGTCAAAGTCCTCCTGCCTGTCCTCAAGGACGTCCGTGCCAAGAGCACACTCACCCCCGACGGACGGAGGACAGACAGACGCAGACTCAGACTCAGCAACAAGGCTAGCAGCGTAGTCTAGACGACAGGCAGCAGCAAAGTCAACCAACTCAGCGACCAGAGCAGACGCAGCCGAGGACTCAAAGGTAGGGTCAGTGACAACTGTAGCGAGGAGACGCGTGACTGTAGGGTGCTCAGCGCGATACCGGTCAGACTCAGGGTCCGGAACGGCAGGCAAAGAGGACGCAGGAGGAGACGGTAGAGGGACACGCCGAGGAGCAGTAGAGGGACGTAGAGTCATGTAGTGAGTGCCTGGGACAGGAGGAGGACGCTCACGACGGACACGACTACCAGTGCGAGCAGGACGAACAGGCGACGCAGGACGAGACTCAGGCTCACGACGCTCTGTAAGACCTCCTGTGGGACCAGTATAAGGAGAGGGAGCAGGGAGAGGCGAGGCAGGCGGTAACTGTGACTGCGGCTGGACAGGCGGAGGACACTCTACGGAGGGAGGAGGACAAGGAGGAGGAGCCTGCCCAAGAACCTGCTGAAGGAGCGGTACGAAGTACGGTCGCGGCCGCGCAGCGTCTCCAGAAGCAGAAGGGACTCCAGCGGCCGGGTCCTCAGCACCAGTAGGAGCTCCAGCGTCCGGGTCCACAGCACCAGCAGCAGCTCCACCGGCCGGGTCCCCAGCTCCAGCAGCAGCTCCACCGTCCGACTCCTCAGCACCAGCAGCAGCTCCACCAGGTGGGTCCGCAGCACCAGCAGCAGCGCCACCCCCAGAGTCGGCAGCTCCAACTCCGCTAGCACCGCCAGCGCCAGAGTCCCCAGCTCCAGCAGCTCCAGTCGCAGTGCTCCCAGAACAGCCAGTCCCGGCAGCTCCAGTACCCCCAGTACGAGCACCCCCAGGACGAGTAGCTCCAGCACCCCAAACTCCAGCCGAGCCACTAGGACGGCGAAAGCGTCGGACGTACCAGTCACGAAGCTGCTGCGGTGTGAGAGACTGCTCAGCACCCCGAACCGGAGCACCCCCAGACACAGTAACCCGAGGCTCCGTAGGCTCAGTAGCAGCACCCCCAGGCTCAGTACCCGCAGGCTCAGTACCCGCAGGCTCAGCACCCCCAGGCTCAGCACCCCCAGGCTCAGCACCCCCAGGCTCAGCACTCCCAGCAGCACCACCCGCAGCAGCACCTGAGTCACCTGTGACCTCGACAGGCTCAGCGACGGGAGGAGGGTCTACCTGAGAGACACCTGAAGGAGCAGGACCCTGAGGGGGAAGGGGGTCTACCGGAGGGGGACCAGGAGCAAGGAAAAGTGGCGGGGGAGGGAGGGGGGCAGTGCGGTAGGGGAAGAGACGGTAAAAGGGGACCGACTCGTCAAAGGTGACATCCTGAGAGGCGAAGACCCGGCGCGAGGTGGGGTGGTAAAACTGCCAGCCAGGCGCGTCAGGGACAAAGCCAAGGAAGACACAGGGAAGCGTGCGGGAGGAGAGCTTGTCCGCGGACGTATCGCGGACAAGGGCACGAGCACCCCACACCCGGAAGCGCGACGCATCGCCAACCTCCCCCGTCCAACGCAGTGTGGGCGAG